TTCATGCAGAAGAATGGAACACATAATGAAAACTAATTCTCGAATGAAATGCATAACAATGGAATACCAAATGGAAACTGATTCTTGGAGAAAAAAACACTCAGTTGGAAGTGATTCTTGAAGAATGAAAGACAAGATTGAAGTTAGTTTTTGAAGAAAAGAATATATAATGCAGAAGATCGAAATATTAATTTGGATTTGAAATGTTACTTTTCAACAATGTTAATTAGTATTTTTAGAATTTGATTTAAATTTTTTTCTGAACTGTTGGATTGCATCATTGATATTTGCATTTTCCTAATATGTTATAAAACAAAATGTCCAATTTACCCTTATTAGTTGTTTTTAACATATAAAAGAATTAAATGTTTTCCAATTAATTACCATCATGTCATTCTTCATCCTAACCACTCATTTTTCTAATCTAATGGACCAAAAATGGTCATACATTCACACAATAGTTACGATTCACATTTAATCCTAGCCCTATATATATATATATATATATATATATATATATAGATAATATATATATATATATATATATATATATATACACACACACACACACATACACACAGTTTGTTTATTTTATTTTTATTATTATTTCATTTTTAATTATCATTTTATAATTTGAACAATTTAACTCATTTTTATATCATAACTTCAATATATAAAGTTTGGTATATCAACATATACTGTTAACACCGTTTAAGTTTTATCAACCTTCAAATCTAACATTCTATTGCAATAGAACATACACAAACTACATATTGAAACAATTTGTTTGTCTTAAAATGTCATTTATTTCATTAGAAAGTAACTTTTGAGCATATATTCTTGATAATATATACTAATTGTATGACCTTCATCATAATATTATTATAGCACATTCTGTTGGGGTGCAAACCCAATCCCACATTGGTAAAATAAGAAATTAGATGCTAGCATATAAGGTAATGGGTAGTCCCTTCTATCACCAATTGGTTTTAGAAAATGGAACATCATTTTTCTTCAATGTTGAGCATGGTTGGGCTAGCAGCGATCCCAACAACTAGTATCAAAGCTTTGGCTGAAGATTGGAGAGTTAAGATTAAATTTAATGGTCATGATTTTAGTTTCTAGAAAATGCAAATCGAAAACTAACTCTACCAAAAGAACTTACATGAACCATTGTCCAAAAGTAAACCAGAAGAAATGAAACAGGAGGATTGGGAATTGTTAGATCGGAAGGTACTTGGTGTGGTGAGATTATCCTTGGCAAAGAATGTAGCTTACATTGTCAACGTGAAGGATACTCATGAATTGATCAAGGCACTATCTAACATGTATGAAAAACCCTCAGCAACAAACAAGGTTCATTTGATTCGATAATTGGTAAATCTGAAGATAAAGGAGGGTGGCTTAGTGACAGATCATGTTAATGAATACAATTCAATCTTATCAAGGCTGATGTCGGTTGAGATTAAATTTGAAGATGAAGTCATGACATTACTGGAGGAGCTAAGTTGACATTTGAAGGCATTCTCGATTTAATCCTTGGTGAGGATGTATGCAGACGTAGTACTGGAGAAGCTTCCACTAGTGTTCTGAATACTAAAGACGGAGGAAGGGAGTCCGACAGAGGGTGTAGGGGTAGTGAAAGATTAAGGTCTAGAAGGAGAGGTGGACAGAACAACAGGAGGAACGTGACATGTTAGAACTGCAAAGAGAGTCATCATGTAAAATTCAGTTCCCAATGCTCATAGCAGATATAAGCCAAAAGGAGATGAATATGATAGAAGATTTTGAAGGTGATGCGCTCATTTGTGCAGTTGAAAACTCAATAAAATCCTGTATCTTAGATTCTGGTACGTCATTTCATGTTAGTTATTCCATTGATGTGATGTAGAACTTCAAGAATTACCAAGGGAAGGTCAAATTTTCAGATAAAAAGTGTCTGGATATCATGGGTGTCGGAGATGTGGTTCTCAAGACGACTTTGGGTATATATTGAACTTTGAAGAATTTCAAGTTCATTCCAGATCTAAAAAGGATTTTGATATCAGTTGGACAACTTGATAATGAAGGTCATCATGTTACATTTGGTGATCACACGTGGAAAGTTAATAAGGGTAACTTGATTGTTGCTAAGGTTCAGAAACATGGTACATTATATATGATGGAGGTTTTTGAAGAGAAAACAAGCATTGTTGAAAGAGTTTGAGCATCCACTCTATGCCACAAAAGATCTGTTTATATGAGTGAGGAGAGAATGAGGAAGTCTGTATCTAGTGGGAGGATGTTATATTCGAACATTATGACATATGCTTCTAAGTCATGTTCTATTGGCAGACAAAAGAAAGTCAGTTTTGCAAAGATAAGCAATCCGCCTAAGTTTGGGAAGTTGGGTTCAGTTCATTATGGTGTTTACATTCCAACTTCATATTCTTCAATGAGAGGATCCCATAATCATGCAAAACCTATCTATGTTCAAAGGATAGGCAGATGTTCAGGAAGCAATGGGAGCTCTGATAAACCTGGAAATAGTGGGAGCTCTGGTGATAATGGTTATAAGGGTGGAGTTGTAGGTGTTTCAAAGATCAAACCACATATTATCTTGAAGACCACCAAGCAAAGTACTCTAGTGAGGTGTTCTCCATCAACCAATGACACGTTGATGTATGAGAATGGGTCAAAAAACAGAGGCCTTGAGGATGAACTCCATATAGTGGGAAATGGCTATGGATGGCAAGTTGAGCGGATTGTAGAACAATAGATGCTTCAGGTTAAGGATGAGATAGATGGCGGTAAAACTAGAAAGGGAAGATTGATGGTCAAGGGAATCCAACAAAAGGTAGAGGACGATTCTCTAGTTGCGACGATGACTACAATCACTTCTATGTTGAATGCAGTGACCTCTGAAAATCTCCATCTAGAGCACCTATATGTGAACACAACTGATCTCCTTGATGTTAACCTGGGCGGAGACATCTTGAAGGCACATCCAGAAAGTGCTCTTACAGCTGGTAAGAAAAAGCTGGTGTTCAAGAAGAAAGAAAACATGTATGTCATGAAGCAAACTTCTAAGCAGTGGTACTTAAAGTTTGATAACTTCATGAAGAGGGGTGTGCCTAGAAGACGTGAGGTTGATCACGGTTGTTACTTGAAGAAGTTAAGCTCCTCATACATCATCCTCGTATTAAATGTTGATGTCGTGCTAATTGTTGGTTCCAACATGCAGAAGATCAATGAGCTTAAGATGCGGCTGACCAGAGAGTTGAAGATAATGAACCAATTGGCTACTAAACTGAAGAAAGTCCTTAGTATGGAGAACTCAGCAGATGAATGTACTAAGGTGTTCACCACTAAAAAGTTGAAGCTAAGCATGGCTTCAACTGCCCTTCCAAGATTTTAAGGACGGGGTGTCGTAGAGAGAGAGAGAGAGAGAGAGAGAGAGATTGAGAAGAATGACGAAGACTTTGAATGGCAGATGAAGTTGTTCATTCCTTCAAGTGGGAGATTGTTGTGGTATGAAGTCTTTTCCAACATGGAGCACTTGGAACTCAATGGAGCACTTGGGATTCATGGAGCATGTGAAAAAGGAATGGATCATCTGAGAAGGGAATGGATCTCTTGAAAAAGGAATAGATCTCCTGACAAAGGAAAGAATGTTATAAAAGGGGGTATGGAGCACCTGGAAGTGGAACGGAACATCCTGGTGCATGGATGCGCCATATGTTATCAATTTGCGCCATCTTATGCTTGGATGTGCCACTTTGGAATCAAGATATGTCACGAAGTGGCTTGATATGGCACAGAGTGACTTGATATGCCACCAAGTGACAGGATATGCCACAGAGTGACATGATATGCCAAAGTGACAAGATATCCCACTAAGTGACTTGCTATGCCACCAAATGACAGGAGATGCCAAAGTGGCAGGAGATGCCACAAAGTGACAAGATATGCCACCAAGTGACAAGATATGTCATTCATGAGGTGGAAACGCCATTATGGATGAAGAAGTGTCATCCATAATGTGAAAGTGCCACACATTATCTAGATATGCCGTTCTGGAGGAAGAAGTGCCACTTGAAGGTAGATGCACCACTTATGTTCCTTGATGAGCTGTATGTTATGAAGTCCCATATGATTCTCAAGATTGTTCAAGGAAGCTCAAAAGTAGAAGATGCACAAGGTTTATTGCTTGATGTGCAACCATGAAGGGTGATATGCCATGATGATCTTGATGTACCACTCTTGCACCTTGTTATGCCACTATAGATCATGATTCTCCATCATGTGTGTTGTTGATGCTCATACAAGGATGAATGTTCCAGAAGATGTTGCATGGTGGATTGTGATTAGTAGACATATTTCATGGGCCTATGGGCCAATATGCTTGGCCCATTAGGGTTTTAGGTATGATCCATCAGGTATAAATAGGCTCATATCCCCATCATTGAAATGAGCAGAAATTTCAAGAGAGTAATCATTGTGAGGTTAAGAGCACTCCTTTGGAGCAGATAGTAAGCAAGATAGATTCTTTTGTTTTGAGAGCTCAAGTGAGGTGTAACATTTGTTTGTGATTGTAATTGTTCTTGGAAGTTAATAAAATCCTCTCTCTCTCTCTCTCTCTCTCGCCCGTGGATGTAGGTAACCTTGACCAAACCATATTAAATATTATGTTCACTTGATTTACATTTTTCAGAAGTTTTATTTCCATAAGTTCACCGAAGTTTGTTTTGATATTTATCTAAAGTGTTTAACTTGTTTTGTTGTCATCCCAACATATCCATCGTTTATTTATGAACGGATACATTACACGTAATATCATATCTTCAAAAATTAATTAAATTATTGTTTAGTCAGTTTTGTTGACATAGACATGTTTATAAAAGTCCTTGATAACAATATGGAAAATAACATAAAAACGTAGGTAAAATGTAAATTTTAACAACATAGTTGCTATCCTCCGCAGCACGCAGAGATTCAGCTAGTAAATAAATAAAACTTACCTGGAAATTGTCAAAAGCTCGAGTAGGAATATTGTCATCAAATTCCTTCATCATGTCCCATGGCCCATCTCCAACCCCAACTAATATTATTGACAACGGATACTCGCTATAAATTAAAAAAGAAATGTTTAGTACTTGTCAAAGAGTTTCCATATGTGAAAACCTAAAAAATGGATTGTCTTAAATTTACCTAGCTTTCACAATCGCATCAAGTGTTCTCCTTTCATGCAGACTAAGTTGACCACGATCAGTAACAACACTTCTTGTGACCTGTGTACAAAGGTACATTTTAGCAATGTAGATAGGTACACAATAGAGGGAACCAAATAGTTAAAAGTTTGAAAATGAGCATCTTTTTGTAATTAAGATTACCTGCCCATCGGTAATGATAAACAAGACATGATATCGACCGCCACTTTGTTCAATATTAGTAATTGCCATTTCAATTACAGGGGCAAAAGATGTAGGTTCTGTTTTGGATGAGAAAGAAACAAAGACAAACCACTAAATTTTTACAAGAAAGCTTTGAAAAAATAATATAATTTGGGGTTGCTGTGTTTGATGGAATGGAATGAGCCATCACACACTCATGATCATATTTGGTTGGTTGGCCTCTAGTGATAGAATGAACTTTCATAAGAAATTTTTATATTATATGCAAAGACAAGGTGTATTTTTAACATTATTCTATATAATAGTTATATAATTTATTTTTAACAAAACAAATAAATTAAACATAGTAAAACCCAAATAAGATTAAAAATATTCATGTCATTAAAAAAGTTATAAATAAAAAAGGATTATATCAACAACTTTCCATTGCATTCCATGATGAAATGAACCCACCCTTCCTTCAAGATTGAAAAAATAACAAAATGGAAGGAATCAGATTCCTTCAGAAATGGTTCATCCCATTCCATCGGGAAATCAAAATGTAAGGAATCACTACCAAAATGTAATTTTAACCTGCAAGCTGCAATTGAGGTACTAATTCTCTATACCGTCTCAAAATATCTTCAAATCCATTACATTCTCCATTTGGGTAGAAACTAAAGACCTCTTGATCATGAGTTGAAGCTGTCAAATTACAAAATCAGATAAATCGCAATAACTTTAAATCATTCAAGCAATTTAACCATAAATTTCAAATGAATACCGTCTCCAAACCCAAAACAAGGAATCATTTGATCCTTATACACCGGTCTTATTATCCTTCCAAGCATTGATATTACTTCTTCATAAGGGTTCATATCAATTCCAATGTGATGTAAGCTTCTTCGATGGAAAGACCTTGCACCTAATATAAATAAAGGTAAAAATATTATACTACACGGAGTCCCAAAATGTATATAGTACATGAAGAATTTCAAGATTGAATTCAACCTGTCCACTCATTGCTCTTGGTAAAATCTACACCAACTATCAATCTTGCATGCTCAAAACCAACATGTATTAGAGCATCTTTAACCTGAGGAAAGTAAAACAATATGTTAATTAACAACAAGACAAAAATAGTATTTTTTTTGTTCACCAATTTGAAAAACATTGTTGGGAAATTGTAGGGAAATAAGAATATACTTTACCCTCACTACCATTATAGGAATGTACATGCAATTTTTAACCGATAATAGCAATGTATAAACATTTTTAGTCATAATATCCATGTCCTTATATTTTTAACCCTTACTCAATGTACTTTTATTTCGCTACCAATATGCGCAATATACTACTTGTTATGAATAGCTATATCGTAAGTAATGAGATGTAAGTACCTTGTTACTATTGGTATGGAAATGTATGTATGTTGCTATTATGTGTAAGTACATTACTATTATAGGTTGCATATTGTTAATATAGGTAAAAGCAATAGAAGTATGTTGCTATAATGGGTAAAATGTAATTATAATGCTATTATTAGTGAAAAAAGTACATTGCCTATTGTGGGTACAAGAGTAAACTGTGTTGCTATTTCCTGGAATTTAGCCTTATTTGTTTCAAACTTAACTAAAAAGGTAAAGAAACATATCAGTCCAACTCCAAAAGTTATCATGCATTTTTAGATAGGCAAATCGGCTACATTTTTTACTTTTGGTAATTAACCCTAAAAGGAAGCAAGCAAACATTTTGAATTTTCAAGAATTAAATGAAAAGGATAACATAAATATAATCGTAAAAGAAGTCAAAGATCATAGATATGTTTACTATAGACGCCCAAAACTTTCGAAACATAAAATTAATGCTATCTTTGGAGTGAATTTAGACCTTAGAAAGGCACTACCATTGTTTAATGTGAACTAAATGTTTTAACTTATATATTTCTAAAAGCATGGACTTTTCCTATTCTAATGAGAGTGAGATAAGTTTGACTTAAAATAATGATAATGTTACCTGACGTAAGTTGTAGTAATAATCATCTATGCTGGAGTATTTTCCCTCGAGATTTCTCTTATCTATATGAGCCTGATCAGGACAACTTTGATAAGGTGGAGGGTAAGTATATGATTGGGTCATTGGTGGTTGAGGATCTGGTGATTGTTGATAATCCCATGAATTTGATGGTGAGGCATATGATGAAACAAGTGTTAGAGAAAGCAATAGGAATCAACTGAAAAAGAATCATTGTTAAGTTATTGTAATTGGTAGAAAAAAGTAAAGTGCCTATTGAAATCTAGAAACTTAACTTTCCTATAAAAAAGGTATCACTGCGTTAGAATTTCTAACAATGTCAACAAATGGAACAATATGGTGTCCAACAAATCCCTATCAATTCAACTTTCTAAAATCCAATTCAGAAGTCAAAGTTTTCGTTATTGTGTTCTGATAAACTTAAAACGCTCATGGAGTCATAAACACAAAATTAAACACAAAATTGAGAATCATGATCAATAGAATAGTAAAGCATACATCAACACAAAACTAATCAAAGTTCATACATAAAGACATTGATCCAACTAGAAACTTCCTCGATCTTGAACTAAAAAAATATACATAGGAATAAAATAGATTTGCTGCTATTGTAAAACAAGAAATGAATATTGAAATGAGACAATTGTTAAGCTTTGTTATCTTCCAGTTAAAACCATTATATACAACCCAGCTTCTATTCTAATTACTAACATGTTGTCGTGTTCATTAAGTAACTATGACTTACTGCCAGTAACTAATTTAACTGATAGAATAATTACAATTCCAATATCCCCCTTAAGATAGACTCTCGAAGATGTTTTAGAGAGACATCTTGGAACACAATAGGTAAAATCTTGGATTGTGGTAATGGCCTCGTGAAAAAACAACTAACTGATATTGAGTTCGTATAGGCATAAGTTTGATCTAGGATTTTGTCCCGAACAAAGTGACGATATATATATATATATATATATATATATATATATATATATATATATATATATATATATATATATATATATATATATATATATATATATATATATATATATATATATATGCACAGGGCCCAATATTTTTAGGGGCCCATTTTTTTTAATGCTATACTCTTATGGGCTGGCCAAAGGTTGAAGGAATGAAGACGACCACCCACGAGACGCATCGCCAGAAGTGAGAAGAAGCACCAACAGAGGCGGAGCTACTTGGAATCTCAAGTAGTGCCTCCAACCTACAACTTTAATACGTCGTATCCTTCCCTCCTGTGCCTCCTGTGGCTGACAATTTTTTTCTTTAGAATACGTCCCCTGCCATTGTCGATCTCGACTGCACCACCTCCTCTAGTCCCCTTCCATTGGCGATTTTTTTATGAGGTCGTTATCTCTTCACAGGCCCCATCACATATTACTTACGGTCACAACAAGATTGTTGTCATCAGTTCTCCTCTCTTCCACTGCTTTGCTCGTGATTTTTAAAAGTTTATGCACCACACTTTTTGTATGGATTTCTTTCTTACCCGCTCTCTGTTTTGTATCATATCCCAATAATCGACTCAGTTTTTATTGTGTATAACTGTACGAGTTAAGCAAGTCTTTATATGGCATAATTTCATGCAAATTAGGTGTTTGATAAAATGTCTGAGTGAATCCCTGTTTAGAAAGAACTTGAAGTTGCATTTTTTTTCTTAATAGATTAGAACTGAAGGCCCTTGGATCATGTTTTTGAGTAGTTGTTGTTTGTGCATCAACTTATCTGATAGTTCTTGCCCTCACAGAACTATTGAGTTGGTGTTGTTTTGTTGCTTTTGTTTAGGCCTGCTCTGGTCTGGACCTTTTTGCCCCTGTCTTTTACTTCTTTTGGTCCTCTGATACCTTTATGTAGGTGCAGCCCCTGTTTTGATCAAAAGAGTATACCCAAATAAAGCAAAGCACAGAGCTGCAGGGAAAAGATTCCCAGATCTTCTTCTTCTTATTTCTGATAATAAAACAAGAAACTTACAAGGCTTTAAATAATAAGCAAAGGAAAAACTGCTAAGCTAAAAAAACTGAAAAACGTGGGCTCCTAACTAGGTGGCAACTAAGCCACTTATTCCTATTGACAAGGTTAATAAAAGACCATGTCAGAATTACTTTTTCCTCCACATACTTCCCCTTAATTCTGAACTTTGTCCTCAAGTCTTACGACTCCCAAAAGGTTTCTCATCTCTAAGAACTTGAGTCTTGGCAAAGCTTTTGTCAAGGGATCTGCTCTTTGTTCTTCACCACTGATGTGTTTCACATCAATTTGTTTCCTTTCAATACAACCCCGTATGAAATGGAACTTGGTGTCAATGTGCTTACTCCTCCCATGGAAAACAGGATTCTGCATAAGAGCTATGGCTGACTTGTTGTCTACATACATCCTGACACATTCTTCCTTCCAACCGGTCAATTCTTTGAGGAGACTCCTTAGCCAAAGTGCTTGGCATGCTGTTGCAGTTGCTGCCATAAACTCTGCTTCACAGGAAGATAGGGCCACAATGTGTTGTTTCTGGGATGACCATGTGATTGGATTACCTGATAGATAGAAAATCATTCCTGTTATACCCTTTCTACCATCGATATCCATTCCATGGCTACTATCACTGAATCCAATAAGCCTTTTATCACCACCTTTCTTGTACATTAGACCAAAGTTGGTTGTCCCCTTTATGTACCTCAAAATGTGTTTGACTGCTTTGAGATGGCTCTACTTTGGTGATTCCATGTATCTACTCACTACTCCAACTGAGTAGCTCAAATCAGGTCTTGAGTGGATGAGATAGCGAAGACTTCCGATGAGGCGTCGATACTCGGTAGCATTGACTGGTATTCCATCTTCGTCTTTTGTTAAACCCAATCGGGGTTCCATTGGATATTGAGATGGGTTGCACTCTCCCATGCCTGCTATTTGCAAAATCTTCTTAGCATACCCTGCTTGACCGATTGTGATGCCATCCTTGTCTTGGTGAACTTCTATCCCTAGGTAGTAGGATAAGGTTCCCAAGTCACTCATATCAAAAAACTTCAACATCCTTCTTTTAAACTCAACAACTAATTCTTCACTTGAACCTGTCACAATCAGGTCGTCCACATAGACCCCGACAATCAACGACCTGTTTGACTTTTGGAGTTTATACACAGCATATTCCTGTGGACATCTCTGGAATCCCATTTCTTTCAATGTTTTATCAAGCCTATCGTTCCATGCCCTTGGAGCCTGACGTAGGCCATAAAGAGCCTTGTTCAACCTGTACACCATGTTCCCCTTTCCTGCGATAACAAAACCGGTTGGTTGTGTGACATATACTTCTTCTTGCAGAATCCCATTTAAGAAGGCTGATTTTACATCCAAATGATGAACCTTCCATCCTTCACTTGCAGCCAAAGCCAACAAGGTCCGTATTGTTTCCAAACGTGCCACTGGAGCGAAAGCTTCATCGAAATCGACACCTTTTTGCTGTACATTTCCCTTTGCTACGATTCTTGCCTTGTATTTGGTTACTTTCCCTTCCGCATCCTTCTTCAATTTAAACACCCACTTCAGCCCTATTGCCTTATGCCCTTTTGGGGAGGTGGGTTAGTCTCCAAGTTTCGTTCTTTTCAACAGATTCCAGCTCCTGTTTCATTGCGGTTCTCCATTCTTTTGTCACCTGAAGCTTCTTCATACGTGGTGGGTTCTTCACCTGCATACATCAAGACTTCTGACTCTTCTTGCAGGGCTTGCGTTTCTTCATATATATCGGTCAGGGACCGAAAACCATGAATTGGCGTGTCGTCGTATGTTTCCCTGGGAACTTCGTCTGATGATGGAGATAAGGTATCCGCAATTGAGCTTGGTGATTCGTTTCCAGCTTGTAATTAACCATGTGATGTCGATTGTGAATGACTTTCGTTTGACTGTGGATTAGGGCTTCCAATCTCAACTTGGGTTGGATCGAATTCTCCCACATTCTCTTGGGCTACTCCTTCACTGGGAAATCTAACCCAATTGTTGCTTAAAATTGGGCCTTCTTCTTGGACCTTAGCCCAATCCCACTTTCTCTTCTCTTCGAATACGATGTCTCTTGATACACATATTTTGTTTCTTTCAGGGCAATATAAACGGAATGTGTTGCTTCCTTCCTCGTTTCCCAAATACACCAGTTTCTCACTCCTATCGCTCAATTTTGTGAGCTTGTTTGATGGCACCTTTGCGTGAGCGACACAGCCAAACACTCTAAAGTGTTCAAGTGTGGGTTTCTTCCCCTGTATGCCTTCATATGGAGTCACATCTTTCACTCCTCTTGTCGGGACTCGATTTAGAATCTGTACGGCGTGGCGAACGGCTTCCCCCCAAAGTGTTTCTGGGACGTCCATTGCTTTCAACAAAGAACTGGTGACCTCAAGGATTGTGCGATTCCGGCGTTTTACCACCCCATTCTGTTAAGGGGAGTAGGGTGCAGTTAGTTGCCTCTTGATTCCTTCCTGATTGTAGAACTCAGTGAATTCATTTGACGTGAATTCACCACCACGATCAGTGCGCAACATTTTTAGCTTGTATTTCCCTTCACCTTCTACTCGATTCTTGAACCTCTTGAAGGCAGTGAGAGTTTCACTTTTGGCTTTAAGCATCGACACCCACATGTACCTGCTGTAGTCATCTACAATGAGGAGAAAGTATCGATTGCCAGCTAGTGTTTGGGGAGTTATAGGACCGCACAAATCTGCATGAATCAATTCAAGTGGAGAGCTTGCACGCCACTCTGCTTCTTTCGGGAACGGATATCGGGTCTGTTTGGCAACTAAACATCCCTCACAAATCTGTGTGGGATGGTGAATTCTTGGCACTCCCCGCACCATGTCCTTTACCACCATAGACTCGATCACACGGAAGTTTACGTGACCCAATATTGCGTGCCACAGCCATGCCGTATCATCTAAGCTCGCACTAAGGCATACAGGTTGTGTTGTATGCAAGACAATCTTGTACAACCTGTTCTTTGAACGTTGTACCTTCATTATCAACCTGTTGCTAGCATCATGAACCCTTAAGAATTCATGAAGCATCTCGATCTTGTATCCCACTTCTATCATCTGTCCTAGGCTAAGTATATTACTTTGTAAGGCTGGGATGTAATATACCTCAGAGATGACTTGTTGCTCTCCATTTTTGCATTCCAAGAGAATTGTACCCCTTCCTTTGATCTGAACTTTGGACCCGTCCCCAAAACGCACCTGCCCTGTTACTCTTTCATCAAGTTCTGCAAAGTACTCACGCACCCCTGTCATGTGGTTACTGGCCCCATTATCCAAGTACCATGTATCCTTCTCATTTTCTTTTGTTGCTGGGAACACTTTGTCTTCATTAAGCAATACCCAGTTATCTGTATCTTCACCCCAGACAGTTAATAAAAGAGCATGTTCTTCTTCATGTACCTGTGTGAGATTGACATCAGCCTCCTTCCTCTTAGGATTGGGGCATTCTGATGCATAGTGTCCAAACACATCACAGTTGAAGCACTTTATGTGACTCTTGTCTCTTCCCTTTCCTTGACCATTGTCTCGTGATTGTTGGTGATTACCCCGACCACCTCTACCCCTTGAGCCTCCTCTTCCTCCACGATGACCTCCTCGACCTCCCCTCTCGCTGTGAGATGAGCCACGGCCTCTTCCTGCTGAGTTGGTGGAGTTTTTGTTTGACTTTTGACCCATTTGCCCCTCTGATCAGGTGAGCAGCAGACCAGCTTCAGCATTAGTGGTTTCGGTACGACTTCTCAACCGATCCTCATAAGCTTTGAGTCTTCCTATAGCTTCTTCAAATGGCATGGTATCCAAATCTAAATATTGTTCAATGGAGGCTACAAGTTGTAGATACTTTTCTGGGATAGAATCAAGCAACTTCCTCACCAAAGTGTTGTCTTCTATTGTTGCACCGAGACTAATGTATTTTGAGTTAATCCCACTCAACTTTCCTGCGAACTCATCTATTGACTCTCCTTCTTTCATCCTCAGTGCATCAAACTCACTCTTGAGTGAGTGCAATCTTGCCTTTTGCACTCGATCTGCACCCAGGTACCGAATTTTCAAAGATTCCCACACTTCTTTTGCAGTTTTCTTCTTGGCTACCTGCATGAGAATATCCTCTGGTGTTGCTTGGAAAATGTAGGCCCGTGCCATCTTGTTCTTCCTCTCATCCACAGTCACTCCGGCTGTTGATTCTATGGATTCCTAAACACCTTGAGCATCCATAATGGCCTCCATCTTGATTGCCCATGTGGTATAGTTTGTTGAAGTCAGCAATGGACACTGGAACGACACCCCACCGTTATCTTTTGTGACCTGATGGCTAGAACTCGTCATGTTACTATATCTAATATATTTGGGCATAAAATGGAAGGCTCTGATACCAAGTGTAGGTGCAGGCCCCTGTTTTGATCAAAAGAGTATACCCAAATAAAGCAAAGCACAGAGCTGCAGGGAAAAGATTCCCAGATCTTCTTCTTCTTATTTCTGATAATAAAACAAGAAACTTACAAGGCTTTAAATAATAAGCAAAGGAAAAACTGCTAAGCTAAAAAAACTGAAAACGTGGGCTCCTAACTAGGTGGCAACTAAGCCACTTATTCCTATTGACAAGGTCAATAAAAGACTAGGTCAGAATTACTTTTTCCTCCACATAGAGTAGGTAATCTTTATTGGTTTCTTCCTCATTTGTTCATTTTTTGAGTGGTTTCACTCTTAGACTTTTTTAGTGTTTCTTTTTGTTTGTAGTTGTATTGTTTGTTTATTCAATCTCTAGCTGGATTTTAGAGTAGGTTGCCTTTGTTGGCTTAAATCTGCCTTAAAATTTTTTGGTTTTTCAATATTTGTGTGAAAAGGGAAAGCAAACAAGTTAAAATTATGGAAAAAATAGTTTTATTTATATAAATTATAGAATTGCTCCATGTGTTATGTTAACATTACAGAAATAATACATAGGTTATACTGAATTACAAAAATTGTCTCATGTGTTATATTAATTGCAATTTCAACATTACAGAACTTGCAATTTCAACATTATAGAACTGGTCCAATGTGTAAAAAAACTTTAGTTTATAAATTTAAATCCTCAGGACCGGCCCTATATATATATATATATATATATATATATATATATATATATATATATATATATATATGTGTGTGTGTGTGTGTGTGTGTGTGTGTGTTTCGTCATTTCATGCAATGTGGGATGAGATGCTTATTGAATTGCATAATTATTGTCGCAAAAGATTAAGGTTGGATCTTGAGAAGAAACACCAAAGTTGCTTAAAAGATATTGAAGTGATATGTTCTCACTAGTAACTAAAGCCATATGATCTCACTAGTAACTGTAGAACAATGTGACGATCGAGTATAAGAGAAAAGCACATATAACCTTTCTGAAGGAGAGAATATCCAAGGAAAACACACTTGAGGGACTTGGGATATAGTTTGCTAATCTGAGGTCCTAAACAAAACAACTATAATCAAATATATTAGGTTCAACAGAGAACACAGGTTTATTAGGATACATAATAGTATATCAAATATCATCACCAAGAATTGCAGATGGCATACGGTTGATGAGAAAGCGGGTAGTAGAGACTGCATTAGCCCAAAATGGTTTTGTAACAATTATATAAAATATATAGTAGTGCTTGAGCTACTTAATAAAGGTGGACATTTTTTCGTTCAACAACTCCATTTTGGGTAGGTATGTCAACATAAGACGATTCATAAAAAATACATTGTTAAAGATTCACATGTAAGACCGAAATGTTTCAGGGGTGTATTATTTTTCACTATCACTACGCAAAGTTTTCACACATACACTAAATTATGTTGTAATCTCAACAACAAATGAACAAAAATGAGTGAATACCTCATAGTGAATTTCATCAAATATAGCAAATTAAAATAACAAGGGAATAATTATCCACAAAAGTCACAAAATACTTTAACTCCGATTTTACATGTAATAGGACAAGGAAACCATATATCACATTTCAAATGGAGATGCATCTCGTTTATTAACTCATGACTCGAATAAACATGCAGATGTTTGGCAAACTTATACGACTCTCAAACATTTACTATAACTGCAATTGTCTAATTAAGCAAAAATGGTAGTCGACACATGTGAATTTCCGTATCCAAAAATTCGAACATACTCTTCCAAAAATATAGTAACATAATCAGAAACAAGAATTCTTGACCACCCTAGATGATCACAACGTGAACAATACACGGGATGAACAGTGATCACAGCGTGAATAATACTCGGGATGAACAGTGCATGAATGGTCGTGAACCGTCTTAGATGAACAGTCGTCCGCACTCAAAGGGTGCTCAACACGAAAAATACTTACCCTAAACTAGCTAGGTTCTGTGTAAAATGCAAAGAATATTTGTATTTACTCAATCTAAAGACTGAAACTAAACCCTACGAGTCCGTTAGGTCTATATTTTAGGCCTGACTCCTATATAGACTTCAATAATTATAACTAAATTAAGTTTTTGTAAGATTATACACGTCAACAATTATCACTGAAGTTTTTGTAAGACTGATGAACTTCAACAAGTATCACTAAAGTTTTTGTAAGATTGATTACCGGATCGAGTCCTTGAAGCGTTAATGACATTGCTGCTTTGGACATCAAAGGCCGTAGGAGAGTTTATGGATTGAGTAATGTTGATTTCACGTTGACGTTCTTCTTGAATAACAACTGAAAATACAAGATTAAATGTGGGAATCGGATCCATAAGCAGTATCTGTCCACGAACTTGAGCATAGTTGTCATTTAATCCCATTAAAAAGGACATAGTATTTTCAATCTCTTTGGCTCCACCACAGATGCATTGCCCACATGTGCAATGCTCATTAAAATCTGATAATTCCTCCCAAAGAACTTTCAATTTTGTAAAGTAAGTACTTAGAGAGTCTTGTCCTTGCTTAATGTTCATAAGATCGCGCTTGATTTGAAATATACGACGACCATTGCTCCGTTGAAATCGTTCTTTAAGCTCATTCCAAATAGCAGAAGCAGTTTCCAAATAGATCATGGAAGCAGCGATTTCTTTTGAAACTGAATTTAAGATCAACGACATGACTATGCTGTTGTTTCGGGCCCAAGCTTTGAAACTAACAGCATCATTAACTGAAGGTTGAGGAAGAGATCCATCAACAAAATTGAATTTATTCTGGACTGAAAGAGCAATAGTCATAGAGCGATTCCAGGAAGCATAATTTTCTCCGGTGAGAATTTGACTAACTAAAAGAGTACCAGGACTATCCGAATCATGCAAATAGTATGGATCATCAGTCGAATTTGAATTAACAGCATTATTGGATTCATCAGATGTTTGAGACATGATTTCAAGAAAGAATAAAATGAAATCGGAAAAGAAAGAACGAAGAAACAAAGAACAAATTCAATGATTTATGTGAAAAAGAAAAAGAATCATGAATAAATGCATGACGAACAGCGATGATGCAGATGCGAAGAGATCTCTGAAGAATCAATGCTAACAAAAGCAGGACGAATCAATTGAAGAAGAATCAATGTTAGGTTGTTGTAATCAGTAGAAAATTGAGTAACCTACTCAGGAATACAAGTGGCAGGGTTGGTGGTTGCACGTTGCAGGTGAAAGAAAAAATTAGTTGACTCACCACGTTTCGCTATGAAGTCAATGTGTGTTTAGGTTTTCGTGGGTTAATTTGTTCCCAATCACCGCGTTGGTAAGATAATAGATTGAGGTTAAACTGAAATACATAAGAGACCTAATCTAAATCCTAAACGGTTTGAACCTAAACCATAATAGACATAATCTAAACCCTAAGGAGGTGTTTGGTATAGGGAAATAAGAGAAGAGAAATGGAATTGATTCCATTTCTCTTGTTTGTTTCGCACTAAAATATAGACACTAAAATATAGAGAAAAGAGAAAAAATTGAATTTTATTTCCATTCTATCATTCTCCTTTTTTTATAAAGAAATGGAGAGAATAGCCTATTAGAGAAAACTAGAAAAAAAGCGGAGAATTGATTCCCAGCTTCAAGTCATGACTTCGAACCTTACTAGGACGTGCTACTTATTTTGCTAATGCATTGAAGAGATAATACTGCATACGAATTGACATTAAATAATATATAGTGTGTTAACCGACAATTGTAAATAATAATTAATAATTCGAATTGCTTAGATAATTGCTAGAAGTTTTGTTTCTAAGATCAATATTTTTTGTTTATATTAAATAATATATAAAGCGTTGTTAATTGACAAATGTAAACAACAATTAAGGGCTTGGGCCTAAACCCTAATCACTAAGAACCCCCCCCCCCCTCGGGCGCAGTTTGATTGGGAGGGGACGATTAAACTAGAAAAACAAAAACATAAAACACAACATAAATGAAGACCGCGACAACAGCGGTGACAAAGCTCTTACAATGACGCTAACAACATTTGCTCGTTGGAGAAGGAGAAAGAAGAAGCGCCGGCCAGCGGTGGTTCATTTGTATAAGAAAGAGGAGCGGCGGCGGCGGCGACGATCATCGTGTCGGCGACAGAGAAGTCCAGAGAAAAACAGCGAGAAAGAAAGAGGGCTCGAGCTGCGGCGGACGGAGCCTATTCCAACTGATTCGGAAAATAGATCTGAAAAGGAGGCAAGTTGAGGAGAAGACAGAAAGCTTAGACGCAGAAGCCATCCAACGAGAATACATAACCAAACGAGGCAGTAGAAGAAGTCGAGGCAAGAGCTCTGGTTTGTTGCCAACATCTGTTTTATTATTTAGGCAGAGAAGAGAAGAAACGGAAAAATAACGAACATAATGAAGGCACCTCCGACGACTTTTTGAGAAGGTCACCAGAGATGGAGGGCGGCAACTACGGGTTGTACCTAGAATTGTGATACCATGTAAGATAATAGATTACTTGATTGATAAATAGTGAGGTTAAACCATATATAAGTAGGGATATATAAGAGGCATAATCTAAACCTAAACCATAAAAGACCTAATCTAAACTCTAAAGGGTTTGAGCCTAAACCTTAGTTTGGGCCTAAACCATAAGAGACCTAATCTAAACCCTAAATGGATTGGACCTAAACCCTACTAACTACCAAACCTACAACATTGACTAATTGCAAAAGAAAAAAAGGTTGTATCTAACTGTATTTTATTTCATTATAATACAATAATTTATTGGGAGAAAAAAATCATTTTTATTATAATTTTCACAAAATATTTGTTTCTCTAGGAAAAGCTACCAACTACGTAATAAGTAATTGCCAACAAAGAAATTAACCATCATATTTTGTTGTTTTTATGGTTTAAAAACTATGCTTTATTTCTTATTTTCTTTCTATTTAGTCCACTTAATTTTGAAAATAAAAATCATTGCGACCTACGTGAGTCCATGACCCCGGTGGTTTAGTTTAGGAATAATGACTTGAAACGGTAATGAACTTTCAACTTTGTTTATATGTAGTCATTGAACTTTTTTCTGTGTTTGATTTACTTCTGAGTTATTTGAATTTGTTCATATTTATCTTTATGGATGGTTAGAACTGGACATAACGGTAAAATATGAACAATTTCATATAATTCAGAGAGAAATCAAACACGAAAAAAATTCAGTGTCTAAATGTGAACAAAGTTGAAAGTTTGTTACTCACATTCTTATGTTCTCCCTTTTAGGACTTTTTAATAAATTTCATTATATTACTTTATATGGGTGTAAAGTTTATTTTTAAGATTTAAAAAATACATTTACTTTCACTACAAGATTTAAGGGTATAATAGGTGGCATTTGTCGCCGCCGCTAAAGGTAACAAGATTTGTCACGATTACTTTTAGTAGTGACATGCCACAACTAATATGTTATTAATAACGCTTTGTTGGAACTCTCTCGTACTTATATATATTGATATAGTTTTAAACATATGTTTTGTATATAATGCGCACATGTAGTGTTATGTTCATAACACTTTGTCGTAAATATTATAATAGTTTGTAATATATATATATATATATATATATATATATATATATATATATATATATATACTCTTTAGTATGCAAATTTGGTCAAATGCTGAATTTTAAGAGGTACAACCTTTAAAGCATCATATACAACCAATTTATGCATACAAAAATGTAATTCTTAATTGGTCAACAAAAAAGTCTATTGTCTTATATCGGTGGAATGGGCCTCGCTTGACCTGTTCTTTCCCTTCATCCGCCCAATTTATAGTTTAAAACACTGAAATACCACCTTCAACTACGAGTCAGTGTTCAACTCCACTTGAATCGGTCAAAGGCCCTACTTCTCCTTTATCTTTGTCACCATTGTTCACCACCGTTATCTCCATCCCGCATAGATCTTTTAATTATGGTTATTGAACTCGGTGTATGTTGAGTCTTCTCATGTAGGTTGAATCAATGTTATTTTGGATTATGCCAATCGAATATTCCAACTCTGCTTTCTCCATCGCCTACTTTAGATGCTTAATCACTATGGACTTCAAAAATGGTATAAAAAATCCCACCCCACAGTCTCTTCCTCCGAATTCGGTATCAGGTTTGACTTGTAGGTAAGATCCATAGTAAAGAAGAAGAAACTTATTTAACATTTGCACATAAGGTGTTTGATGTAATTACTCAAAGAGTTATTTGTTTCTAACAGGATAGTAACGTCTTTGGAAAGAGGTAAGTTTTTTCTCTCTTTAATACAAACTCAAATCATGATAATCTCCTTCCAAAATGATCTTGATGACTATAATTTGGTTATTTGAAGCAGAGAATGGAAAATGTCTTTGGTCATTGCAACTATCTGATATGAATTGCATCATTTGTGGTGAATACATTATATGATATTATTGTTTAGTGGTGACTTTGTTCATGCCAGATGTCAAAACGAGGTGCTTGGCAGCTTCAAAATTTGACAATGAGCTAATGTAATCTATTTTCCCATAATTAATTAATGTAGTTTACTTTTGAGATGCTTATCAACATTTTGGCCAACTAATACATCCCCCAGGAGGTTCACGAGAAAAAAAATGGTGTTGTACAACCATATCTCTCTCTCTCTCTCTCTCTCTCTCTCTCTCTCTCTCTCTCTCTAACTATGTGTGTGATTACAGGTCCTGAAAGCAAAAACCTTTTTATTGATTTTTGTCTTGGATTTTTTTGGTTACATGTATGATATCAATCTCTCATGTTTATGTTTTTTCTTCTTACAATGTATTTATTCCCCTGATTTCTGATCTACTTCACTTGGATCAAATCTCCCAATTCAAATGGTATCAACCAATTGAGTGCCTTTCCAGGTTCTTACTTTGTACTAATGTTTTAAAGTGGGCTAAACTAACTTTTTACTTTTTTTAAAGCAACAAAAGATTTTTTTTACTTATATAGATTATGTATTTGTTTCTTCATCTAATGGTCTTCAAAAGCAATTATGGTCTATATCTTATAATCTTTCTGAATGTAGTTGTGGCCCTTTTATCAGGTCGTATGTTACACCCTTCTAGCTATAAAATTATCTTTTTCTATTTATTTTTCATTTTTTCAAACATTATTGTAATAAGACGTGGTGTTCTATCTGATACAATACCATAGAAATTGCTTTGGGATCCGATATCAAAACTGCTTTCAGAAAAGCATTATTTATAGGTATTTCTTATCATTCTGATTATCAGGTCTTTTAAATAAATGAAAATTTTCAAACATTTTGGTGCTTTTTTTAATAGAAAGATCATTTTGAT